AAAATATTTACACATATAGCTCTTCTGTAAAGTGATAGATTCAAGTAAAGTGAAACGTGGCGTGCAAAAATATAGTATGTGAGTCATTGTCTAAGATGGACTGAAGCCTGGACAGCATCCTCCTCTCTGCCATGGTGGTCAGAGTGTCCAGCTCAACATTTCTCTACGACTTTAAAACAACTATTTTCAATCATTTCAGACGGAACTATTCTCAGACTTCGGCGCCATTTCCCTTTTTTTGTTTTTAACGGACCTGGAAGGACCCAGACCAGGTCCTTGCAGGATGCGGCCTCTGGAATCGAACACACTCAGTTTACTCTCTGCACATCTTTCTACCCTCTGTGCTTCAGTGGCAGCGCCCCTCACTGGTCTGGAATAAGTATTCCAACACCTGTGGATTCATATCAGAACTAAAACTTTCTTATTCTCCTCCAAATGCCAAAGGACCTCATTAGACTGCATGATGTTATGAACATTTGCAGGAAATAGGTCCAGATTTGGTGAGCTACTGCTACTTTCTTCATAAAGCACTTTAAAAACGGCAGCCACCGCTGTGATGGGTGATAATCAACAATAGGAAATCTGTCTTTCCTGAAGTCCTTGAATCCTTTAGAGGAACCTGAGCTGAGAGGACAGCCGTCCCTCCCTCCATCTGAGATCTGCCCTGTTGGCTACAGTAGATGAGAAGGACTGACAGCGGGGGTCCAAGCATTGCTACAGCAGTGGTTTGGTAAGAGCAGTAATTTCCCAACGTTCACCAACTGAAGAATGTTCCTCAAATTAAAGGTTGGACTTTTCTAAATGCTTTAGTGGGTGAAAATATTGCTGTGCTGCAGCCTTTTTCTAGAGGAGGGGTCAGATTTATGTGTGAGGCTCCCAGTGGGGAAGGCCAGAAACGTCCCACGCCATCAAAGCAAATAAAGCTGCAGAGAAGCAGTTTCTAAACTTCACTAACGATAATTACAGCATCTTCCGCACTCATGGAACAGGTGAAGAAATGATCTAAATCAGGGTTCAGCAGCTTTTACAGTCCAAAGGAGCCGTAAAACCGACCAATCCTTTGAAAGAAAAACTTTAGGAACTCCAGGAAAAAGTTTTGTTTTTACACAAAAAATGATAATGATCTAATTTAGGTTAAAGGAAATAGTCTGAATTTCACAAGACTCCTTAAACCATTTTATCAAATTAAATCAAATTTGCATCAGATGGAGGGCGTCCACCATGGTGCATCACGTCTTTAGGCTCTGCGCGGCGTAGGCCGGTCCCCCAGGAAATATTCATATTTAGACTCTAAAACATTGTTTCCTGCATATTTAACTTTTTGTCTTTGTTCCAACACTACTGTAGCCCTGATTATGGTGTGCTTGACTAGAGGTGGAAATTTTGACTTTTTTCTCAGAATTCTGAGATTAAAGTCAAAATTCAGAGATTAAAGTCAGAATTCTGACTTTTTTTCTCACAATTCTGACTTAAATCTCAGAATTATTTCTTTTTTCCCCTTCTATAATGAAATTAACTAAAAAAAAGCAGTTAACTTTTTTTTTTTTTCCAGTAGCC